AAAAAAAAATCTTCCATGTATCTACTTAACTTTTCAATATATGGAATGCATTTATAGTAATTGTTTAATGTGCTTGCCTGCTATTTCTCACTGCTTGTCAATTTTAATTTGTTAATGTTTCTCATTTTTGAACTCATTTCCTGCTTCTTTACAGGTTGTTAATTTTTTATCAGATGTGAGACATTGTGAACTTTAGCTGTTAGGTACTGGATATTTTTTGTATTGTTGAGCTTTGATCTAGGATGCAGTTATTTGGAAACAATTTGATTCTTTCAGTTCATGTTTTAAGGTTTGTTAGGCAGGACTGGAACAGTGCTTAATCTAGGGTTGGTTACACCCTTCTGTGTACCTTACCCAGTGCCCCATTAATAACGAGGTTTATAGTCTTGTTGATGGGAGCAGATTCTTTTGCTGGCCCTGTGTGAGTATTGGTTACCTCTAATCCTGTCAAGTGATTCATTGACTAACCTCAGATATTTTCCTCCCATACATGTGCTGATTAGTACTCAGGTGAATACTTAAACTAAAGATCTCTGGAGTTCTCTCTCTGTACAACTCTCTCTTTCCCAGTACTCTGTTCAGTGAACTATGGCGTCTTGATCTTTCTGGACTCTCAGTTCCATCTTCTCAACTCAGGGAGTCTGGCAAGCTCAGCCTGGTGTCCTCTACTCTGTGATATACTGTGGAAACTCTCTCAAGGCAGTACTCTAAGGTAATCACTGGCTCACCTCGTTCATTTACCATCTCTCAAGGATCACGGTCCTTTGTTGCCTGAGGTCAATGTCTTGAAAATCATTGCTTCATGTATTTTGTCCATTTTTCATTGTTTCAAGGAGGACGAAGTAAATCCAGTACCTGTTACTCATCTTCTGCCAGCAGCAGAAGTCTCAAGATTGTTTTAAAACCTTAATTTGTCTGCAAGCTTCCCAAAGATCTGCTTATCCTTACAGGTAACATTCCTCCTCATCCTCCCCATATACCAGGCCACTTGAAAATACCTCTGAGAAATCAGTCCCTTATATCTGTGTAAAACATTATAGCTAACAACATAATTTTACCTTTTGAAATAACATTGTTTTCTTTTGGAAAAAATATGATTTGTGTCATACTGCTAATAAGAAATTTGTCTTCATGTGAAAAAGGGTGCTTAGCACAAAATCCACAGAAAAATTCTTAGGGTCAGCCATTTTTGGATAGATCCAAATCCAAACCCTACATATAACAATAATAAAAATCTCATATAGGGCTTTAAAATAAGCATTTCACTTTGAATTTACTCACTGTGTTCGGCACTAGTACTGCTTGTCTCTACCAGGCTGATATCATACGGGACTGAATTGGCCCTCTGAGGGTGGTCCTTCCTGATAGTAAAGAAGAGAGAAACACACAAATGGAAAATGGGTAATTGGAAAAGCATGTCAGAAGATTTAGAAAGAACGTTTAAACTTGAATATTTGAACATTCATTTTCTTTCCACGACTACCTGAAATTGTCAGGGCTGCCCTAAAACTGTGCCCCATTATTCAACAAATCCATCAGTGCAGGTAGGTCATTTTTGGGGGCTTCAGATGGATGATATCACTTAGTCTTTTTCCTTTAAAACAGTACAGTTATGGGC